CAAGTAACTTAGTAACTTGAAGAGGGAGAAATTCTGTAACAGAATTTTGATGGCAACAGGAAATAGCTGTGTCACTGCTTTATGACTTCAGGAAAATCCACCCACAGATCATTTTGGAGGAAAATGAAGAAATACAGAGCATGGACAGAAATTGCAAACATAGCTTATTAACRAGGAAAACACCATGCTAAAAATAAAAAGCGAAGAAGTTGCAAATACTCCTTTGTTACATTCAGACAGATAATTCTAGAAAAAGAGGAAAAAAGCATTAAGTTGTAATATTTTATTTGCTTTGCTTAAATTATTTTTATATTAATAAGCAAAGGGGAGAGTCTAAAGAGTTAGAAAACCTAACTAGAAGACCTAAATATATTCTATTCATTAAGGAAATTAGATTAAATTTTTAACTGAGAGAGAAGATGACTAATGTGCAGCAAGAGAGGAGTTTTCTAAGGATCCAGAATGCAAAATATAATTAAATTGAAATCAGAGAAAGCTCATAGAAATGAGTTCCAAAGGTAGAATATTAAAAAGAGTTAAACGTGCCTAAAAGCAACACGACTGCTTTATATCTTGTTGTTATCATGGACTTTCCTTCCTGGAATTATTTTTTAGGAAACTGTCACCTTTCCAGCTCTGTTTGTATTGGGCAATATTCTAAAAAATCCCTTCTGGCCAAATGCAGTGTAAATATACAGCTGTCATCCCTACTGRGAGCCAAAAATGATCTATCGGTGGGGGCTGTCTTTGATGACATTGCACCATGCGAGCCTGAACTCATGTAGTCAATATTAAGAATAACAACAGCAAAGTCACCACGGGTTTGTAAGCCATGGTGGGAAGTAGGAAATTTCTCAAAGCCATAGGAAATTTCTCAAAGAAGACAAAGGCTCTGCTCTTCCGCTGGTGAGTGCTAGAACTGTGCTTCAGCTTCCAGGGAGCTCTGTCTGCCTCAGCTCACCGGTAATGCACTATCTGAGCAGGGGAGTTTCACTAATGCTCTTGCCTTTGCACATGATGATGAGTGAAGTGGGAGGAAAGAACGAGCAGTTGTTCACAGGAAAGTGCTGGGAAAGGCTGAGAGTCTGGTCATTTCCAATTATCACTAAAATGCTTTCCCATAACAATAATG